CTGTGAAGCTCCAACAATTTATACTCACTGAGGGATGGACTATGTTATTGTTGAAATATTTAACATTACAAATATCGTAAAAATCTACAAATAAACTTTAAAATTATGTGACACATATTAACAGATTTTTCATCAGTGTGGGGCTTTTTTTGCCACAATATGATTCATCATTTTATATTCTTCAGTAGTTACTCAATCTGCAGTAAAAGTGACATATATAATTTTAGAACCCTTTTTTTGGTTACAAACCTTACTTTTTCTCTAAATATTTCACTGCTTTGAATAAACTATCCTTGTTACCTTAAACCCATGGTTAAGTAGTTAAAATCTGTTTAAACAGTGCTTTCATAGAGTATTGGAGCCTGAAGCAGATATTCTCCCACTTTATCTTCTGGGGACACAGTGACAACCTGAAGTAAGTCCCAGCTCTGGGTGAGATTTATGACCGAATATTTTATACTGATTAATAAATATTTGGGACCAAACCCCCCCCCAGTGATGAAAGGCATAAGCCCTGCCGGGAATATTTTGATGTTTTTTTGACATTTCTTCAGCAAGAAAGCTTTAATTTAAAAAAGTTATTACACTAGTGGTGCTCAGGTTGAGTGAACATTTATATTGGGATCAGTAGGACTTTGATATGGAAATTTTAAAGGAATGGCTTGTTTTAAAGAAACTACACACATTCCACTACATCATTTCACCTTTAAAAGGAGAAATATTTGGAAAGTTTCCCATTGCCATCTCAACAGCAGCAACACAAACTTAGCAGCTCTTAGCTATAAACTCTAAACTATTTCTGTTATGGAAATACAGACAAATTGATCATCTGTTAAAACAAACACATGAATTTGAAAAAATAATAGGTTTATTGAAATTATCTTGGTTATCTTTTTCTGCTGGAGCAGGAGGCTCAGTTTTTACAGACTCTAACTTTTACAATCAGATGTTGATTTTGTGAAAATCAGCACAACTGAGATGAATACCTTGGGGTAAATAAAAACCTGAACACAGAAATAAGGTTAAATAGCCAGTTACCCCTTAAACTCCACATTCTCACCAAAACCTCTGCACATTCATTTCAAAATACTTTAATAGAAAACCACTTAAAATGAAAAAAAAAAAAAGACTATGGAATGTGGGCACATTGAAAGTTAAAAGTAGAAAATACAGGAGATATTACAATGGCAAGAAATGATTATACAAGGAAAAAAATGGTGTTTTCATCTTACTTTACTCTGTAAAATGAGGAGCTGATCTCTTCTCTAACCCTGTGCGAGCAGCAGCCTCTGCACAGGCGCCTAAGGAAGGAAAAGTTGGCTGTGATTTACTGATGTCCTGAACAGTAACAATTTGCTAAAAGTACCTATTTCTTTAATAAAAAAAATGTATTTTTCAAACTAGAAAAGACAGGTTTTCTTCTTGAAGCATGTCCACCACTGAAAGTGTTAAGCTGAAAATTAAAGCACGTTCCACTACTTTTGCCCAATAAATCAGGAAGAAGGCACAGTTTGAGGCATAACCATGACACAATGATAGCGAGTCAGGCTTTTTTAGATATACTCTTTGAAACAGAGCAAGAAGAATTTTTTAAAACTAGAGTAAAGCAATCTATTCTCAACCCCCATCCTCAAATGTGTTAAATAATTCAGGGTCTGACTCTTCCCTTCCGAGGCACAAACACGACCCCTGCATCCCCACGCAAGTGACATTTTTGCAGAGCCCCGAAAACTCTCGCTCATTTTAATTGAAAAAAATATCCCACGACGCCGGGGTCTCTAATGATTTTCACATCACAAACCCACAGTTTATGGGGAAATAGTTACTAGAAACCCAAGCCCGGAACCGCCCAAGCCCTCACAGTGAGCCTGCTGCTGCCCAGGTGGGTTTCACATCTGGCTTTGGGCACTTGCTGGTGCAGCCTTGGATGGGGTTGGCCATGGATTGACTTTGGAGAACAGACCCCAGCATATTGCACCCTAAGAAAAATTTAACAACAGCAGTAAACATAGAAAATATCCCATCTCACTCTCCAGAGGGGCTCACATTAGCGTTTAAATTCACTTTCCCTTGTCTTCCCAGTATAATCTTATAGCTGCAGCTAAAATCTGTGGTTTTTTTAATCAAACGTGGTATTTTAAAACAAGGAGTGTCACGGCCCAGTTCTTTAATAAACCCCACTGATATGGATCCTTCAATCCCTTGTAGCGTTCAGGGAAATCTGTGCTCACAGATCCTGTTGCAGGGCAGGGGACTCAAAAGCTAATCTCTCTCTATACTGTTCTTTTTCCTAGTTGCATGGGGAGAAAAATGTGAGAAAATATGTAATTCCAGGGTGCTGTGGCAGCATTAAACCACAGCTTCGTACCCCATATATTGACTTTATTAACCATAATCTTGCAGAGGGTATTAAGGTAAATGGTAAATGGTTTAATGGCAGTTTAATATTCTGCACATACCCATAACAGACATTTTAGTTGCTTTTAATTGATGTAGCTGCTAGCTTTGTTAAACTCTCCAGGAGAGTAGTTCTCACTGGGAACAAACCTCCTAGAAAGTATCAGTTTGCAAAAACACAATAGTTCGAGCGATAATTGTGCAGAAAAAGACTTCTGGATTTCTTTGCAGTTGAATAAGAGCGTTTTGTTTCACTTTTGTATAACTCAACATTGGGTGCCTAAATTATAGTCAAACTTTCCAAAGAGCTAAATAAAGAAATACAGGGGTTAAGTCACTTTTAAGATAAAACGGGGACTGGAAGATTTTAGCCAAACAGAACATTTTTATAGCTGTGAGCACATTAGGAAAAAAAAAAAAGATATAGCAGAAGTCCTGGTGTTACTTAAACAGTAGTTTTCAGCACTCATAAAGGATGCGGTATTAAATTATTTTCCACTTATAAATCAACTGGCTGTGGTCTATACATTAGCACAAGCTTTAGCTGGTTTTTGGCTTCTTACTTGTCTTCGCGTAACTCCATCTAACCCCGAATGAAACGCTGCTGGCATGGTACTGAACCCCAACTATCGCAACTAAAAATATATATAAACCCAGAAAAATGATTGCAATCGGCAAAAAAAATTAAAGGGCTCTGCAATTAAAAACCCCTCTATTATTCCATTGGTCCAACCGGGAACCGCACCTCCTGTCTGGGGGGGATAAAAAAAAAAGGGGGGTAATCTCCTTGAAAATTAACTTTTAGATTTTTTTTAAGCTTGTAAAAATAGTAGAGGATCTGAAGGTGTGTCTCAGCAGGTTTTGCCTGCCTGTCTAGTGCTGAGACTTTTTGCGTGATCAAAGAATACATGACAGCAAACGGATCTATGCTTGTAAATATCAAACGGTTTGATCATGCTAAAAGACTTTATTGAAGTTTCCCACTTTTTAATCAAACAAGAAACATCCACCTCCAGTAGCCATAAAAAAAGGTCTGATATGATATTAGAATAAAAAAAAAGTACTAAACATGACTTACGGATAAGGGGTTTTCTTCCTATAATATGGGACTTCCATTAATGTCATGTTTGTAGACTGAAAGGAAACTGCAACCCTTATTATTTTACCATAGCACAGTATAAAAAGGGTTTGATTACACCAATATTAATAAGTCTGCAATGGGCCACAAGAAATAAGGTATGTTCACATACACAGCCTTTAAAACAGAATTAAAAGCATAATAATGAAATGAATACATCGCTGACTTGTCTTGGTTTTTTCTTTTTCTGCTTTATGATGAAATCCACAGCATCAAAATCTGCAACTGGCCCGTGGAGAGGTTTTCTATACTATTTCTGTCACTTAGTATGATAATTCCTCCTCCCCCCCCACCAAAAAGTTAAAAATGCCATTCTGAATGAACACATGGAGCTCTGAATAAAAAGAGCCAATAATTTACAGTAAGACGATAAGAGTGTAATATTGCTTTAATATAATGTATTAATGAAAATTGCCATTCTAAAATAGATAAGACTTAATAATATAACTCTCATTGTGTTCTGTGAGTTGGAGGCTTTGGTAAGTTATATGTTAGTGCTGTGTGGCTGGCGTGAATCCTGACACAATTTCGAAGACTCGCCATTTCCAATGCCAGTGGAGCCTGAATTTATTTTCCCTGGAAAAACCCAGGCAGGCACTTTCCTGCTCTGTCAGGTATTACTGTGCTCCTCTGCCAGCTCCTGCCTGTTGCAGAGTTCATGGAAACATGTTTTCATTATTTGTAATGAAATTTAATAAATTTATTTTCATCCCACTTTATACATAGAGCGAATTAGCTTAAAAAAAAGTCTCTGTGCCTTTTTTTTCATATTTATTCTTTAACATACTGACATTTTTTAAATGGGCAATGGGGTGATACGGGGAATGGCATATTAATTTCTTGCTCTTATTTTTATGCCAGGATAGCTCAATCGCTCTGTAGTGTTCCTGCCACTTTTGCGAGCATCTTATATTTGCAACAATGAGGGCTTACACTTCTCTTTATTAAATGGCAGCTTGTTTATCTGTGCTAATTGCCAGGAAGAAAACTAAACTTCTTTCCTCTCTGCGGACCAGTATTTATAGTTAGGAAGAGCAGCCCTGCACAAATGCAGAGTGGTGTTTGCATGAATGAGGCTAACGTGCGGTTACAGCAATCTCTTCTGTCAGAAGCGAGAAAATTATTTTGTTGATGTGAGAAGGCTGGATGAGCACACAGTGTGGGTTTTAAACCCAAAATGTGATTTCAAAGGGAAAAAAAAGCACTTTTGAGCAGGCCCATGGGAAAAAAAAAAGATATTTTTAACAATGCGAGCTTTGATATCAGTATTTTGCATGCACCTTTGGCAAATATTTTTATAGTATCACTGAAGATGCACAAACCTGCAATTTGTTCTCCAAAAGGGTTAGAGGCTGCAATGAGGGCACCCAAGGAGGAGAGGGGATTTATCCCAATCTCCTCTTCTCTGAGAAAATCTCTCTGGAAGATGATGATTTTTCTACATTATCCCATGGACCCTTCTGGATTATGTTTCTGAAATGCCCAGGAAGTTTTTCTGTACAAGTCCTGCTACCAGAAATCCTGCTGTCCATTTTGGAGGAAGTACGTTGTTTTCAAAATAATCTGCTACTCGGTGTGTCTGCTCTTCTGGCACAACAGAGAGTAGCTCTGTTATGGCAGATATGACAAATAAGAAATATTTGTAAAAAAATCAACCCCGTCCTGGAAAGTTTATTTTTTGGAATTATTTGTCCACACAGAACTTTGTGTCGTCACAGATGGAGTTCTCCAGTGCTCTGCACTATGCTTTTTGAATAAGTATTAAAAATATGCTGATGCTTTAAAGTACATAAACTTATTTCTATGAACTTCTAGTGAGTCAGCTTTCACCAACTCCTAGTACTTTTTATGGGCTCTATTTCTTACATCCCAAATAATGCTTACGGCCTTTAAATCTCAAAACACACACCAATACTCACAGGCGTTGATTCTGAGATCAATATTTTCATGCATATTCTATCACTAAAGGCAGCATGTTGAGGAAGGATAATCCAACTTCATTTATAATCTTATAGTACTTAGTGCCTTAAGTGATGTGCTTTTTAGATTCGGAAATGAATATAAAAGTTAAAAAAACCAACACTGAAAATGAGGGCAACAAATGGAAGACTTTAAATAAGCTATAATTAATTTTTGCAAGCATTTTCTTACTTCGTCAGGACTGAAAAGAGGCCTTACTTGAAATTATACATTTTACAGAGAAAGAAAACATTTATAAAATACATCCTCCCTAGCAGGTGATGGGGCAGTGGGCTGGCCAGCCCCTCTAAGGACAACTCTTGTCTGATGGCAGTGAAGAGTTCATCTAAAAATGAACGGCACATTTCTAAAGCTGCATTCTCATGGCTCGCAGTTCTGCTTAGTGGCCACAATTAGCAATTAAACTGGAGAAACAAATCCCTGTATTTTGTTGCAAGAGGGTTAGTTTCATTTCTGACTTGGAAATGACAGCGCAGACACATAAAGAGCAAAAAATCATGTAACACCAAGAGGAAAACACACCGCGTTAACAGGGATGCTCAAATTATGCTGCATTAATATGCACGAGAGAATTAAAAAGAATTAAAAGCCTTTAAAAAAAGGGATGTTTTTTAAAAAGTCATGTAGTGTCATTGCTTATTCAACAACAGCCCACTTCTCCTCCAAAGCAGTACGCTGGGTTTGAAAAAAAAACCCAACCCCACACCGCTGTAGAGAGAGCACATGTTACATCAGACACAGTACCTGATTTTTCACTGCACAGCTTGTCAGCTAGATAGTCTGCCTCTTGGGCGATAAGTGAGAATATTTCATCTTCATACTCTTCTACGATACTTTCCCACTGTAAGGATGAAAAAAAGGAGGATACTCGTACTGTGCCTTTTTTTTTTTTTTTTTTAGCTAGAAAGAAGCAAGGCAGTTGCGACGCTGCGGCGAGGAGCCCCCGGCTCGCTCCGCTCTCCCTGCCCTATGCAGCGCAGGGATGAATGGGCGCTGCCCGAGAATTAATGCTACCAAATATTACTTAAACTTTATGCCCAGCCTCACTGTTGTTTCAAATCCACATTCATGGGTTGGGGGGGAAAACCCCTCCAAAAGGCATTTCACTTGGTTAGCGACACCCCCCCCCCCCTTTTCAACATGGACTCAGGGAGGAGGCACTTGAAATTTAAATAAAGCAAGCCCATTTTGTATTCTGATATTAGCGGTCACGATGTGCAATAAATACAGCTCCCTGAGCATGCAGATGCAGCTCTGATTTCACTTCAGATAGAGCAGTCCACAGCAATGAACTGCCGAGCCCCCCCCAGCCCCAGTATTTAGGGAGCTGCTGGTAATTCACCTCAGTGCCACGAAATGGGTCTCTGACCCCCCGGGAAGGACGGAGGAGCACGGCTCCGAGGGGGTGCACCATCCAGCCTGGCGTTTGGTACCTTTTAGGAAGCGTGGGTGCATAATAAGAGGGAATTCCTGTCCCCAAATCTCCAGACTTCGACCCATAAACAAGGGGAAGCCCTTTAACGCGGGTAGAGAAAAAAACATACTGAAATAAAATCCGCTTGCTGGAAGTCGTGCTCAGTACACGCACAAAAAAAGGCCCTTTGCTGCGCTTTGCTAAAAAAAAATCAAACCAATATCTGCCAGGACATGCAATAAGCCCGAGCTGCCGGTGACCGAGGCAGAGCTGCCGCCTCCGCTCCTGGCCGGGAGCTCCGGCCCTCGGAGCGTGCACGCCGGCTCTCTCGCCTGCCTCTTTCAAGTCTCCAACTGCTTGAAAGGCCACGGCCAGCACAACCCCATGGCTTTTTTGGGGGTCTTTTTTTTTTTTTTTCCCCCCACACACATTTTCCATTTAGAGCTAAAAAAAAAAAAAAAAGACCCCAAAAGCATTACAAAAAAATTAAAATACTTATTTGAGGAAGGTGCTGGCACGAAGCCAGGCAGAGCACCTCAGTGTTTTTAGCAGAATTAGCTGAGAAAAATCCATCCCTGCGCCATGAGGCCTAAGAAAAAAAAGATGACATCCCTCCTCTCCTCCCCTAATTTGTCCATAAATACCTGAAACTACTTTAGTAGCAATCTGGATTTTTAGCCACTAGTACAATTCCCTTATTTCCTGCACATAAATCAACAGAGATGTTTTTCTGGGAAATGCTGATTTATATTTAATCACTTAGAAAAAAATTCCCCAAGTAAAATGTAGTTTTGAACTGTTGGAGTTTAGGAAATATGTAACGTATAAAGCATCTGGTATAATCCATGGGTTACTTCTGCAAGTGACGTGCCTTTTGTAAATGCTTTATTCATATTTATGAAGCCCTAAATAGATCCGAATACGTTTCTAAATAATGTTATAAAGCATCTGACAAAACGCAGTGTTATCTCCAAATGCTCAGCCGGTTTCTGTGAGTAGCCAGTACGGAGTATGTTAAAATACGGCAAAAATCTTAAAACAAGGCACGATCTGCACGGATTTCCTAATGAGGAGAAAGAGTGGGCACACTGACACAGCTTTTGCTGGAAAATAAAAGGTTACTCATTTGTTATGTTGGCTTACGGCAAATTTCCAAGGTTTGTAAGCATCAGATTAAACCTGGATTTTTTTTTTTTAAAGTCTGCATAGATTTTTCTCTTCTTGCCTAGGAGCAAACCTCTCCCATCTCCTTTCCTGTCCCAAGAACTCCTCTAAGTTGCTCTCTGACTTTGCCAAAGGAACCTCACGGAGGCAAAAATTGATTTTTTTTGCTTATTACATCACCCCCCCCACACTTCATACAGATAATGCCTACTCAGGTCGCGGAAAGAGAAAAAGAGCATCCCCCTCGCTCTGTAGAGCTGTTGACACATTACATTACACACGTAATTAAAAACGTCAGCTCGAGCTAAGGTGGCCCTGCGGAACCTGCCGGCTGACGCCCAACGCGCCCCTCGCGCCCCTCGCCCTCCTCCAGAAGCCGGCCGCCCGGTGCGAAACCTCCCGGCAGCCCGAAGAGACGGCAGCGAAGGGAGACGGCCGCCGCCGGCGGGGGTTTCGGGCCATGAAAGCCCTTGGCGCTCCAGCCACTTGTTTCTCTAGTTGAAGCGGAGTTTGCCAAAGTCCCGGGCTTTCAGTTGTTGCTCTGTCTTTTAGCCGCTGCTCGCCAGCTCAGATGCAGCTGTTTAATACCTCCCAGGGGTTTTGTGCGGAAAATAATAGCTTACAAAACCTAGCTTCTCCCAGGTTCTACTATTTCAGCTTTATTTCCGAACAGCTGGTCCGTGTCTTTGTCCATCCCCTTCCCTCCCGGCCGCGGCGAGAATTCGGCAGGAAACCTCTGGCCGCTACCTACGCCCCGAGAGCCACCACCGCTGGCGGTGGGGGTCAAAGAGCAACCCTCGCCCTTGGAAACGGGGACAAAAAAAAAAAACCCCCAAAAAAACAAAAAAACCCCAAACTTCGCGCCCCGTCTAGACAGGTCAAGGTGCAAGATGCTCCTCTCCCTGTTGCGTCTTCCGGAAAGGGGCGTGAACCGGAGCCAAGTGCACAGCAAACACCCGCGCCGCATCCCTGCCCCTTTAGAAGACTTCTTTTTTTTTTTTTTTTTTTTTTTTCTCTCCACCCTCTGCTGATCAAAGTAGGAAGTTTTCATGACAACCATAGTCAAAGGGCCTGCATCGCAAATGAACTCGATTTCGGCGATGTTGATATATCCCGGCTCCATTGTCTCTTTTCAGACACAGTATGAACCCTTCCGGTCTCAATGATTACATTACAGAAGGACTTTCACATGTGGGCTTCATTTGCACAAAGGGGTTGCCTTGCTTCACCACCATCTGGCCACAAATCAGATAAATAAAGGCAGGAGAATTAAAATTAAAGCTTAGAGGTTTCCCCCCCCCCCCTTCTCTCTCTCTCTCCCCCTTCGTCTTCTTCTTGCGCTGGGGCCCATTATGAAATCCCTCCCTCCCCCAGTTGCATACGGATGGGGAGTCTACTTTTTATGAAACCTGGGAAAAGCAAAAAAGTGCCTGCAAATAAAAAGACACACACAAAAAAACCCCAAAAAAAAGAAGTCTGGGAAAAGCAAAAAAGTGCCTAAAAAAAAAACGGGAAAAAAAAAAAAGACTGCCATCTTTCACTCCCAACCCTGTTTGTAGGGCAGTGTAACCTATTTTACAGTAAAGACAGGCTCATACAAAACTGCATTTTGCTATTAAAAGTCCATCTCATCCACTGGGACGTAAATATTTCTTTTTCAGGAAAACACAACGTCCCACAAGCTGGAAAAAAAAAGCTGGTGGCGGTGGAAGGCGGTGGCAGAAGTGGGGTTTGAAACTTGTGCTCCAAACTCTGCTGCTTCTTCTTCCCGCCGGGGCGGGGAGCGCAGAGGCTCAGGTGGAGCTCAGACACAGAGCAAGCACTTCCCCCCCCCCCCAAAAAAAAGAAATACGTGGCAGTTTCTGCAGGTAGAAAATAAAATAACCTGCCAACACGGGAGGAAGGTTTTACAGCCCTTACGACAGAAGGTGAGATTCAACCTCACAATCTAATTTCAGCCCTGGCATCACTTCTATTGAGGTCAGTGTTGCTCCGGGAGGGATTTTTTTTTTTGCAATTTGATTGCTATAGCAATAAATTGCACTAAATTTCTTCCCCCTTTTAAGCTACTTCCAGGACAGTAACTTAAGTCGGCTGATGGGGAAAGCCACTTTTCATGGCTGTATTTCTTTACACATAGAGATATTATCATAAGCAGAAGGGTTTTACTCTGCAAATACTGGAAAAAAAAAGATTTTTCCATGCTTATACTCCAACCGATATTCAGGTGTGTAGTCACAACCCCTTCTGCCCCTCTGCAGCCCCTTCCCGTGGCTTCCTGGCTGTTCGGGAGCGCTGCGAGTGTGATGCCACAGGGTACCCTGCCCAAACACAGGGCACGCACCTCTCCTGAACCTTAGCATGTGCAGCAAAGCCAAGAACCACCCTGGAGAAAATGCATCCAACGTCTGAAAAAAAAAAAAAAGAACCCTCAAAATCCATAGGCCAAACCCCACAAATTTACAGAAATGGTTTTGCTGTGTGTGCTTTCTTTGGGATGTGCAAGAAAGTTTTTGTACGTCCGCTGGCACCTACGCGGTGTGGTTCAGGCAGAGCATGGCTTGTATTTAGCATCATGTTTAGATTTGGGCTGTGTTCCCTTCTACCGTAATGAAAAGTATTTTAGAGATAGCAGATACATAAAGAAGATGTATAAAAACATAAGAGCATAACCTGCCAACAGTTGGATTTACTCATTTTTTGTTTCTCTTTAATAAATTACACATTGGATGCATAATGTCTGCATAACTTTGTCTTCTCTCATTTGTTTGGAGGCAGACTCACACTTTGGGTAGCAACTATTATTATATGAGCACATTTCTTGCAAATCCGTGGATGCAGAAGCTGCCAAGATAATCTATTAATTTCTGTTGTCTATTTGTTGGGTTTTGCCTAGGGAAATTTTTGCAGAAATAAATGCAACTTGAATTTAAGGGAAGTGTTTTTTGCTGAGCTGTGCTCTGCCTGGGCGTACAAGGCTCTAGGCAGTTGAGAGTGCTCTTTCTGAAAGTGTTTTAATAGTAAGAGAGGAATAAGTATTTGGACAAGTGGTGGAAAACTAAAGCCTTTCTTTCTATACTGTGAAGATTTTGAATAGTACTTGTCAATAAAGCAACTCCTATTGTAATTGTACCGGAGACATGGGCCTCCACCCCGAAAAAGCTGTCTCAGAGATACTAACCTCATTAAAATATGAATGAAAAGGCAGCCATCATTGTAATGGGAGAAAACCATTTACTTGGCAACAAACTTTATCTGCTATCTTTTGTAAAAATATAAATATGATATCCAGCAGATTTTTCATTACATTTGACAAGGAGGTTGATGAACACAGGGGGGGTTTTTTAAGTTTTCAAATAAGTCACAACATCTGATCCTTCCCTCCCTGCTTTTTCTACTGAGCATTTCAAAATGGGAAGCACCTTCAAATCATCTGAAATCTTTAAAAAGGAAAAGAAAAAGAGGGCTTTGTTTCTTTGGGGCTTTTTTTTTAAGGTTGAAGGAAACTTTCGTGTTTATTTTTGGTTGTGTTTTGTTGTCTGGGTTTTTTTTCCAGAATATCTCATCCAATTTCAAAACAAAACAAGAGAATTCATTACGGAGTACTGTGACGACACCTTAATAACAGTCAATTATAGGGTGCTCAAATGCCTGTTCATTACTATGTCTCTGTTAATCTAGTCCTAAATTTCTTGCTTGATAGATACCGCAACCGGCCAAGAATACAATTGCATTACAAAGTGCAATGAAAAATATACAAAATGTAACTGCAGGAAGTAGGCAGTTTCAAAATAACTGAGCTGTCAATCAAACATTTGTCAAAACAATTAGACATATCTGGTCATTTTTTTTATAAAATATAGACAGACTTGGAATGGATAATAGGCGAAGCTTTAGGTTTAGATAGGAATTGTTTCAAAGACTTGGAAATAAGTCTTTTAAAATGTTTCATGTAGTTTAATCATTATCTTTTCATCCACAAAAGTGTTCACATCATTTTTTATATTAGTTAAAAGTCAATATTTAGAAGTGAAAATTCAAACCTCCTTTGCTCTAGGCTAAAACAGGAGCAACATGAATGCTGAGCTACTCTAAAGGCTGATGGGATATATAATTAGCTATTATGTTAATTGAATCCACTGTGAGTTTGTTGTATGAGATTTCTTCATATAATATGCAAATAGCTTCGAAGGTTTAGTTTTATTAGACAATATAATTAGAAATCTTCTAAAGGAGTGAATTCTAATGAGGCATAATAAAGCTTTGTAAAATATCTGTTTGCTGGGTGAGCAGACCACCTGGGCTTAATCAACACCGGGAACTTTATTGTGTAATGGCATATTTTAAAGAAAGTTTAAGAATTTACCTTTCTAGGTCCATTCATCATAGCTTTATTTTAGAAGAAGGAGAGTTCATTTTAGCAAGGAAGGAGATGAAATTCTTGTAATAAGGAAGGAGGTGAAATTCTTGTAATCTGAGGGGAGGAAAGAACTTCAGAAACAAACAATTCGAATTCTGCTTATTTAAAAGAAAATAAAAATTAAAAAAAAAACCTCTCCCAGCTGTAGCGTCAGTTATGTGCACCTCGAGACGCTTAAAGTGAAATGTTACATGAGCAAAGTTAGCCATTATTCCTGCCATTAAATGCCTGCTTCAAGCAGATGTACATACTTTAGCTTCTGTAGTGTAACTAATCAGCGTAACTTCACTTTTGGTAAGATAGCCCAACATGTTAATATGTGGAATTAAGCACTCTCTTCTAAAGCAAGAAATTCACACCAGGGTAGTCCAGAGCCAGTCCCGAATTCCACCCTCGCATTCCGCTTGTTTTAAGACCACCACTAAAGACAAAGCTTAAACTATTTTAGTTAATGCCAGAATGCCAAAAATGTGTAATCTCTCGTCTAATTCGCCTTGTTCACACTTTAGACTGTGCCAAAGCTGCACTATTCAATCTTAATTTTAATTGAAAATAATAAATACAGGATACTTTGTGCTAATGTAGCATTCAGAGAAAGGCTTTTTTTTTTTCCCCCATCAACAATAATCAGTAGCAACCCATTAAGAAAGAACCAGAAGCCCTGACTAAAGCTGCAGATTTAACCAAACCAAAAACGCACATTATCATGGCAAGTGCT